CAAGATTTATTTACGGCTGTGATAAGGGACCGATGTCCCCATCGGGAAACTCACGTTCTTAAAGTACTGTGATTCTAAGTCACGTATACAAGAAGAAATGAAGAAACAGATGCTCTTCAGCAGTCTGAACAGAACGATTGCATTTTCAACTAAAAACATTTATTGTACTCCGTTCCTGTCATATGTAATAAGGTTTCATAAGCTAAAAAACCAATTGTTTACGTGTTTAAGATAAGACATTGTATAAATATTTATATATGTGCATATAATTTAACTTGACACCGTATATTTTGGTAATTTCACATGATTTATTTACGGCTGTGATAAAGGACCGATGTCCCCATCGGGAAACTCATTTTCTTAGAATACTGTCATTCTCAGTCACATATACAAGAAGATATGAGCAAACCAAAATGATGCTATTCAGCAGTCCGAACAGAACGATTACATTTTCAACTAAAAACATTCATTGTACTCCGTTCATGTCATTTATAATATGATTTTATATGCTAAAAAACCAATTGTTTGCGTGTTTAAAATAAGACATTGTATAAATATCTATATATATGCATATAATTTAACTTGACACCGTACATCTTGGTAATTTCAAAAGATTTATTTACGTCTGTGTTAAAGGACCGATGTCCCCATCGGGAAACTAATGTTCTTAATTATTGCCACTGTGAAAAAATTACAATGCTTTCAAAAGCGTAGGCCTATATGCATAAATTAGATTTTATTACTTGTATTGTAGTCCTGGACTTGCTGATCACAATGGCCGCGCCATCTAAGGCATGTACTGTCTTCGCTCTCGCGGACGCTGGATCGTGGGTTCGAATCCCACCCGAGGCATGGAACCAGGTTTGTTCAAACGGCATGGCCTACCTCATAATGCATGACAGGTTAGTTTTTCACGAATTCTGTGCACGATGGGTGCCGCGCATACTGACCCCACAATACAAAATGCAAAGATGGATCTGGCATTACATCTCAATCCCTACCACGATGGACACAATATGCTAGCCCAAACTGTCATAGTCTTGGGTTCAACATTACCAGCCCGAGACAAAGCGTGCCTCAATGCAGTGGAAACATCCTGCGTCACCTGCCAAAAAGTGTTTAAGGTTACACCATCCCCCAGGAAAGTGGTACTCACAGTCTTCGGGATCATGAAGGCATACTGCTCACCACATTCCAGCCTCAAGGACAAACCGTAAATGCCGACTCCTAGTGTAACATTCTCAGGAAACTTCGAAAGAACATTCAAAGGAAGCCTGAAACCTGTCATGCATTATGAGGTAGGCCACGCCGTGTGGTTCCGGCAGCAGCCCAAAGAATTTTATGCTGCTGGTTTTCAGGGACTTGTGAAATGATGGGAAAATTGCCTCAATGTACAGGGAGATTATGTTGAGAAATAAAAGCATTTTTCAAATCAGTACTCTTATTTTTTAAGTTTTATATCCATTTGTAAGTTACTTATTGACTTACCTACGTATTAGTCATTCTATCCCCTATGTTGATTCATGCCTTCAATAAAGGCAGATTTTTTATTTTTCCCCATATTCATCACAGAAGTTCCCTACGTGTTCTGCATGTTGCATGTTTGTCAGTCTCACGTGTCTTGTAAATCACTTTCTGTATAGTTAGCTCCAACTCTGGCATGTGTATCACCCTGTTTCAGTGTTGGTGTCTTCATGTCAGTCTCCAGTTGATTGTTGTTTTGTGTATGTCATCAAATAGATCTGGAGAAAATTAGAATTGTCCTGTTTGTAATGTGCCTTTCCCCTCTGCAGGTGAGAATTTTTGCTGTTGTATTTGCAGATGTCATCATCCATGTTACATTTTGCTTGTCATTTGAAACACATTCGGTAAAATATTTGTTTCTCCTGAAAATTATTTTTTTAAATGACCTCCTTTTTGAGAGGAGATTGATGTTTTCAACAGCTAAAAGTTCAATGGGTTTTCAGATTTAGAATAGACATGTATATTTTGAGGTTTTCACGGTGGTGACTATGAAGAATGCCATCTTGTGGGATGTGGTGACATGTAGACATAGTATAAACCGACGTTTTGGAGGCAGTACATTCCCCCGAAACATCGGTTTATACTATGTCTAGACGGCACCACATCTCAGAAAACGGCATTCTTCATAAAATAGACGTCATTGAGGTTACTGGCGTTACTTCTGGTTACCCAGAGTGTGTTTGTATTGTTGCAAAATGAGAAACCAGTTTCTTTCTTCAGATTACTCTAAAAACATATGTAGAATCATTCATCTTCAGGAGTGGCCCATAAATGTTTTTGTGTGTCCTTGACGTCTTGCTCTGTTTATTTTACTGTAGCCAAAAAGATGTGCAATTCTCATGCAGTTATGTTTCCTATCCTTGTCAAGTATGTCTGAATACTGGTTGTAGCTTCACCAAATTTTATCCGATTTTTTGCCTGTGTTACTGTTATTGTCAGATGACATTGGTTTTTTAGGTCCTCAAAATTGGCTCATATTCAGTACCTTTCTTATTCCTCAAAAGAAGTAACATTATGGATTGGGAAAAAATATATTCTCTTGAGTGTAATAAAGTATCTTTATCACTCTTGTGAGATTACACCGGTACGTGTCTGTATTTGAAACTTCTGCCCATAACCTAACCCCAAAGAGATATGTGAAGTTCTGTATCAAGCAGCTGCAGTGCTTAGTGTCCATGTATAAAATGTCAGAGGGCGGCCCACTTTCCACCATTCCACCCCCAGCTAGAAGCATTTGAGAAAGCCTTTTTTGGTTTGGTCTTCCTTGTAAGTCATTAAGAGGCTGTTGTCTCGTGACAATGAAGTGCAAATATTATATTATATTGTGACATGTTGCGCAACGGAGAACCCCTACCTCCCCAGCGGCACGTGGCGGTAACGTAGCGCTCCCTCACCCCTCCGCGGTCACGTAAGATGGCGCGAGGTAACAGCGTTGCTAGGCTATACGCAAACACGGTGACGCGGCACCGCTTCCTACTGTGACGTGGCGGGCAACAGGGAACAGCGTGGCTACGTAACAGGCCCACACAGCTCCTATATAAGAGAGTTGCGCTGCCTGAATTGTGAGTTGTAACGTAGCAGTCGCCGAGTCGAGTTTACATATATCAGCAGTCGCCGAGTTCAGTGGTAGTCGAGCGAGTGTGTCATCAACGAGTTCTCAGTTCGCAAGTTACGAGCTACAGACGCGTGTGCGAGAATCAGTGATAGTTCGTGATAACCAGTTATATTTGAAGTGTGTAATTCAGGGAGATTTGTATAGCTCCCGCGTTATTAGTACGTGCAGACTTTGGTTGTAGGGTTTGTAAAGTGTGGAAACCCGACACATTGTGATAATTAATTGTAGCCGTGATTTGTAGGTTGTTAAATAAACCAATTAACCATCTCTACGGCGTCTTGAGTAATGAAACACTTTACATTGGTGTCAGAAGTGGTTACGAACTTACACACGTGACAAATAATTGAATTATTGTGCATCGTGTGGTTTACTGCTACAACATGGACATGGAAAAAGTGATGGAACGTCTGTTGTTCGCCCAGGAGCAAATGGCGGCCAGACAGAAAGCCGATAGGGAGGAAGCGAGGAGGAAAGAGTAGGAAGAAAGGAGGAAAGAGAAGGAAGAGATGGAGGAAAATAGGAAGAAAGACAAAGAAGATTTCCTGGCCAAATTAGGCTCCAATCAAGAAAAGGCGGAAATCGGCCTCAACGAATTACTGGCCAGATTGGAGGACGTCAGACAGACCGACCGAAGAGAACTGAAGGAGATGATGGACGTCAACCAAGCCAGGACAGACGAAAAGCTTCAGGTGCTTACAAAGAGAACGGGAAAAACACAACGGGAACTGCAGTCAGTGGAAGTGTGCCTCTGCGCGAGGACAGATAAACTCCAGGAAGAACTAACGAAAACCTGTGCAGCAATTGAGGAAACCAAACGCGAATTACAGGCCCGTGTGGAAATAGGACAGACGAGGACCGAGCGGGACATCACGGTCAGCGCGAGCACAGCTCAGCCACCGATATTCAACGGGAATTCAACGTGGAGCGTGTTCCGGCGACAATTCGAGACGTTGGCAGAACACAACCAATGGTCGGACCGGGAACAATCGACATACCTAATTACTGCCCTGAAGGTTCGGGCGGCAGAAATACTACCCGGCATTCCGAAAAATACGACTTATGAGGAAACACTTCAGGCTCTAGATGACCGTTTTCGGGACCAACAATTTGCAGCTGCTTACCACTACCAGTTAAGAACAAGGACGCAGAAACCTGGAGAATTCCTGCAAGATTTTGCAACGGCCATTGAACTGCTTGCCCTTCGTGCCTACCCCAATCTACCTGCAATCCACATTGGAAGTGAGGCAGGAAAAGCGTTCGTATACGGCATACGAGATGCCGATATTAAGATCCAGCTGCTGCTGGGAGGGGAGAAGACGGTAATCGAGACCCTCCGACAAGCGATAGAGCTGCAGGCGGTGCTGGTAGCAGCCAGGCCTCACGGAGATAGCACCAAATTCCGATCGTCCCCCACCCAACGAGGAGATGACAATAGACAGCACCAGGACCGAAAAGAAGGACCTCCAAGAAATAAACGGGAATCACCGGGGAAATCAGAATGGCGACCCAGAAACAACAGGGAAACAAGCTGGAGAAAGGACCAACCGTCGGGAAACGAGCGACGGCCGGCGGAGATGGGCGAACGCCGGCATATGCGTTAAGGCCCCCACACTACGCACTCACCGACATGACGGAGAAAGCCAACACCAGTCTGGTCACCCAGGGATGGGTCGGTGATAAGCCGTGTCAGGTGACAGTGGATACTGGAGCATACGTCACGGTGGTAAGACCGGATATCGCCGCCGGATGGCCTGAAAGACAGCCAAATCCAGATTTCTCGCTACAGACCGTGTCTGGAGGATCCCTGCCCATACTGAAAGAAGTTCTGTTGACCCTTACCCTAGGGCGCCAACCTATTACGATGTGGGTTTTCGTCGCGAATATCACCGATGAGCTCATCCTGGGACTGGACATACTACGCGCCTATGATGCTTCAATGGATGTAGGGCGCCAAACACTTCGTCTGGCGGAAGTAGTATCGCTATGGAGTCCTGCGGCAGGACCCCGTCCTTCTAACTTAGTAGTGGCAAAAGACCATGTGATACCAGCACGGAGCGAGGGAATAGTGATGGCTAAAATGAAGAATCATCTGGGAGTAGAGAACGGTTTAGTAGAACCAAGCCCCCAGGCCCACCCTCCTGAAGGAATTTACGTGGCCAGGACCCTAGTTCAGAACTGTCAAGAAGTACCAGTGAGGGTCATGAATGTTACCCACAAGGACCTAAAGCTAAGGAGACGATCCCCTCTGGCGCACTGTGAGCCAGTAACACTCGTGGCTTTGCCCGAAGTGGGGCAGCCCCCAGCACCAGGTCTAACACCGAAATTAGCGGACGTGACCACAGCCGCCAAGCCACACCTAAGCCCCGGAGAATTTCAAGAGTTAGAGGATCTCGTGTCCGAGTACGCGGATATCTTCGCACAAGACAACGAAGATTATGGAAGAACAAACAGAGTTTATCACCGCATAGACACGGGAGAAGCCCGACCAATTCGACAGCCACCGAGGAGAGTACCCCTGGCAAAACAAGCAGAAGTGAAGGAAATGCTTGACAACATGCGAGGACAGGGTGTTATAGAAGAATCGGACAGCCCTTGGTCGTCCCCGGTCGTTTTGGTCAGGAAAAAGAATGGGGAGCTCCGTTTCTGTGTGGACTACAGAAAGCTGAACGACGTCACCAAGAAGGATTGCTTTCCGCTACCCCGCATTGACGACACCCTGGACACGCTGGCCGGAGCCAAATGGTTTTCAACTCTCGATTTAAAGAGTGGCTATTGGCAAGTCGACGTACACCCAGACGACAAAGAGAAAACAGCGTTTTCGACAGGACAAGGGCTATGGCAGTTCACAGTCATGCCCTTTGGACTCTGCAACGCCCCGGCAACCTTCGAAAGGTTAATGGAGACAGTCCTACAAGGGCTTACGTACGATTCATGTCTTGTGTATTTGGATGACATGATCGTAATAGGCCGCACATTCCAAGAGCACATGCTCAACTTACGGAAAGTGTTCGAGAGGTTCAGGGAAGCCCGTCTAAAACTTAACCCGGAAAAGTGTAAACTCCTGCAGGAAGAGGTCCGGTACCTCGGGCATATTGTGTCACCAGGAGGGGTATCCACCGACCCGGAGAAATTGAAAGCGGTGCGAGAATGGCCGACCCCGAAGGATAAACATGAAGTTAGAAGCTTTCTGGGACTATGCGCGTATTACAGGCGATTTATTTCAGGGTTTTCCAACATTGCGAAACCACTAACTAGACTAACGGAAGAGAAACAAACCTTCCAGTGGACCTCAGAAGTGGAGGCCGTTTTCAAACACTAAAGGGTGCCCTATGAACTGCCCCTTTTCTTGCCTACCCACAGCCAGGAGAGAAATTCATTGTGGACACAGATGCAAGTAATGTCGGAATTGGAGGAGTTCTCTCTCAAATCCAGGACGGAAAAGAGCGTGTCATAGCTTACTTCAGCAAGACGCTAAACAAAGCAGAGAGAAACTACTGTGTCACCCGTCGAGAACTACTTGCCATAGTGAGGACACTGGAACATTTCCACAAGTACCTCTACGGACAACAGTTCCATCTGCGAACGGACCACTCTGCGCTTACCTGGCTTATGAGTTTCAAGAAGTTAGAAGGACAAACCGCGCGCTGGATACAACGTCTACAGGAATACAACTTTATTTCGGAGCATCGGCAGGGCCGGAGACATAACAATGCCTACGCCATTTCTAGACGACCCTGCCAAGAGGAATGTGCGCATTCTCACAAAGTTGAGACGCGGGCAGGGGTAAAGCAAATATGCGTTATTGGAACCCCACCGGCAGCCGGCTGGGACCCGGTTACCCTAAGAGAGGAACAGCTAAAAGACCCAGACATAGGGTCTATTCTACGGGAAGTAGAAAACGGCCAACGACCGAAATGGCAGGATATCGCGGATCGGAGTCCCACGTACAAAAGCAACTGGGCCCAGTGGAAATCGCTCGCTGTGAGAAACGGCGTACCAGAGCGTGACTGGGAATCCGCCACCGGAAAACGTCAAGTAGCCCAGATAATTATTCCTCGGAGCAGGGTGAAGGACGTTCTGAGCGAACTTCTCGGTGGACCGTCAGGAGGTCACTTCGGTGTCAACAAAACTCTGAATAAGGTTCGACAGAGATTCTACTGGCTCCAAGCAAGAACCGATGTTGAGAAATGGTGTCGACAGTGTGACACATGTGCAGCCAGTCGGGGACCGCGGACCAGGAATCGTGGGCAAATGCACCAGTATAATGTCGGTGCTCCCTTCGAGAGAGTAGCCATTGATATCGCAGGGCCCTTCCCACGAAGCGACCAAGGAAACCGATACTTACTGATCGCTATGGACTACTTCACCAAGTGGCCGGAAGTGTACGCCATCCCGAATCAGGAGGCTTCAACAATAGCGGAAGTTCTGGTTGCCAACTTCTTCTGCCGCTTCGGCATACCTCGAGAGTTGCACAGTGACCAAGGCCGTAACTTCGAGTCTCATCTACTGAAAGAAGTTTTGCAACGCCTGGGAGTGAGCAAGACGCGCACCACACCCTTGCACCCACAGTCGGATGGCATGGTGGAACGCTACGTCAAGACCATCGAGGAGCACTTGCGGAAGGTCGTCTCATCGCACCAAAGGGACTGGGATGAGAGGTTACCCCTCTTTCTCCTAGCTTACAGGGTGTCCACTCACGACACTACGAGCCTGGCCCCTGCTGGCCCAGTATTCGGACGAGAACTAGGACTACCTTGCGACCTGCTCTTTGGAGTACCGCCAAATAACAACCCACCACCGATTATGCAGCAGAGTTAGTGGATCATCTGCACGACATCCACAATTATTCCCGGAAAAACCTGAAGCTCGCAGTGACCGGATAAAAACTCGGTACGATAAACTGGCCAACTCCGCAGGTTACGACGAAGGCGACAGAGTCTGGCTCTATCGCCCAACCCGCAGAAAGGGGAAATCGCCGAAACTACAAGCATCATGGGAAGGTCATTACAAAGTAGACCCGGATAAATGATGTGGTTTACCGAATCCAGAGGACCCTTAGGTCGAGGATGTTGGTTGTACACCTCGACCGGCTCGCACCTTATCATGGAGCTGCTCGAGACGAGCAACCATAAAAAGGGGGAAGATGTAGCGGTTGGAGAGCAGAGCAACGGGGAGAAGAGAAACAGTAGGACACAAAGGAGATACTGCAAGAACAGCCTCCAAAGAAAAGGAACGGGGGAAGCACCGTTAGGCTATTCGGGACGCACATTCTTAAGGAGGGAGCAGTGTGACATGTTGCGCAACGGAGGACCCCTACCTCCTCAGCGGCACGTGGCGGTAACGTAGCCCTCACTCCCCCCTCCGCGGTGACGTAAGATGGCGCGAGGTAACAGCGTTGCTAGGCTATACGCAAACACGGTGACGCGGCACCGCTTCCTACTGTGACGTGGCGGGCAACAGGTAACAGCGTGGCTACGTAACAGGCCCACACAGCTCCTATATAAGAGAGTTGCGCTGCCTGAATTGTGAGTTGTAACGTAGCAGTCGCCGAGTCGAGTTTACATATATCAGCAGTCGCCGAGTTCAGTGGTAGTCGAGCGAGTGTGTCATCAACGAGTTCTCAGTTCGCAAGTTACGAGCTACAGACGCGTGTGCGAGAATCAGTGATAGTTCGTGATAACCAGTTATATTTGAAGTGTGTAATTCAGGGAGATTTGTATAGCTCCCGCGTTATTAGTACGTGCAGACTTTGGTTGTAGGGTTTGTAAAGTGTGGAAACCCGACACATTGTGATAATTAATTGTAGCCGTGATTTGTAGGTTGTTAAATAAACCAATTAACCATCTCTACGGCGTCTTGAGTAACGAAACACGTTACAATATTTAAGCATCCTGTTGCACTATATGATATATGATATAAATTCCGTCCTAAGTGCAAACAATATATTATACGTCTTTGATCTTGCTCTCCTCTACACTACATGTTTCGGCCACAAACGGCCATCATCAGGTGTATACACTCACGTAGCTGTTACACTGCACTTAGTTTAAAATTTAACACTTACAAACACGGGTCTTCCCGATTGTTCTCTTCGTCGTTATTACCAAAATCTAGTTCGCTGACAGCTGTAAGCTCTATACATTATCTTTGCTATCCACACACGTCAATTTTGATTTCCCTCAATTAGCACTTATAAAATCTTCAGTTCTAACGTTAAAATCCTTTCAAATTTTTCTCTAAATTTTAAAATTTAAGATTTAAAATTGTCAGGGTTACTCGCCCTACGTCTATAGTGCTGCAGCGGCTACTTATTGTTTCCAGCACTGTACAGGTGTTATCTGTAATATACAAATATTCGTATTACTATCTTTATGTTTTATATACTCAGACAAAAACCACAATTAGCTAAATACAATAAAATTGGCATATACCAAATGAAATATGTAGATTGTCCATTGAAATACACTGGACAAACAGGAAGAACATTTAACATCAGATATAAAGAACATATACATGATATTAGAAATAATAATAGCAATTCCGGGTACTCAACTCACATACTAAATACAGGACATGCATATGGAACAATAACAGAGGTAATGGAAGTTGTAACAACGGGAAAGAAAGGCAGACATTTGAATACATTAGAGAAATACCATATATATAAAATTAGTAAGAAAGGCCTACACATGAATGACACACATACAAACACACAATCCCATATTTCAAACAATACAGGAAATCCATACAGACTAACGGTACCTCCCTCTCCCCAGTACCCATTCCCCCCTACACTCACCAACATAAAACACAGCACACAATACAGCAGACAGCTCAAGTAGTAAAGATATGCAGAGGCACACACACATGGGACTACACAGAGCAACTACAAATAAAAGTAAAAACACATAAGAAAACATTACGTACATAATAGAGTAATACAAATATTTGTATATTACAGATAACACCTGTACAGTGCTGGAAACAAAAAGTAGCCACTGCAGCACTATAGACGTAGGGCGAGTAACTCTGACAATTTTAAATTTTAAAATTTAGAGAAAAATTTTAGAGCTGGAAATTTGTGTCGAGCAGTCGATGAACTCTCAGTGCCATACCTGTTATAATAATCGGTGTTTTGGTGTTTTAATATTCATATTTTGTGGCATCCTGCTGTGTAAATCACTGGATACTATTATATTCCTGTTGACACAATACTATTTCCAGTAGGTGGAGTCACTCTCCATGACAACATGTTTCGGCACACATTTGCCATCTTCAGGTCTAAACAATTTTTTAAATTTGCTTGGTGGGGGGTGGAGTCCAGATGGGTCCACTCAGCATGGCGGCCACCGACTAGCCTATTCTAGCCTGCCCCGTGTGATGATGGAGAATTTGGTGGAATAAAGATTGGCAGGGGAAATCG